ACCTATTTTGGCCTTTGGGAGAAAACACATTGGGGCCAGTCCTGATAGGGTTGCCAACTCCAGATGGGAAATTCCTGGAGATTTGAGGGATGGAGCCTGAAGAGGGTGAGGTTTGAGGAGGGGTGGGACCTCAGACAGGTACAATGCCATAGACTCCACCCTCCAAACCAGTCAGTCCCTCATGGGGAACCATTGTTGCACCACTCGGAATTACAACTGCTCTGCAGAAGGGAGGGTAGAAGTCAGCTGAAGTCAAAGGGGCAGATAATGGTAGGTTGATGGTTAGCTAGGAAGGAGATGGGGTTGCCAACTCCAGGCTGGCAAATTCCTGGGGATTTGAGGGGTGGAGCCTGGAGAGGGTGGGGTTTGCGGAGGGGTGGGACCTCAGACAGGTAGAATGCCATAGGCTCCACCCTCCAAACCAGCCATTTCATCCTGGGTAACAATTGTTGCCAATCTCCATGTGAGGGCTAGAGATCACTCAAAATTACAACTGCTCTTCAGGTAGCAGAGATCAGTTCCTCTGGAGAAAACAGTGGACTCTGTCATTATACCCTGCTGAAGTCGCCACAGCAAATTGACATTGTTTGCCCAAAGCCAGAGCACTCTCTCAGAGCCTCTTTCTAGATCCTGTTGTATTTATTTGCACAACGGGCCTTATTTCTAGTACTTACTATAAAATGCATGTGCAAAAGCTTTCTCTGTTGCTTTATCATTACAAAACATTATAAGCATTGCCTTTGTTGTTGTTCAGTCGCACAGTCGAGTCCGACTCTTCGCGACCCCATATTTCTTTGTGTCCTTTGATAATATGTAAATTTAGTCAGGGCTTTTTTTTTTAAAGAGGTGCTGGAACTCTCAAGAGGGAAATGAAGTTTTCAATCTGTATACTGAAAACTCATGAACTTTTATACATTTTTAAAAGTTCGACATTTGTCGAAGAGGTTCTGGAACTCTGTTCCAGCGCATTACCCCAGGGAAAAAACCCTGAATTTAGCTAATAATGCAGTGTTCCAAACACAGTGGCAGTTATCAACAGCAACTGTAAAAAGTTGTTCTTGTACATACCACCAAATAAATAACTTTTGGATCAGAAGGTATATTGTTGCTCAGCATTTCATTTATGTACTGCCAAAACAATTGACATGATGAAAAATAAATGTTAAAAAATCAGCCCTACATAAATCACAATTCCAGCAATAATCTTGTATGTCTGTATATAATAGCTCATATGTGTGGGGTAAAAGACCATACAGATAATTTTAAGACCAGTTACCCTCCCACCAGGCAAACCCCACCCCCACACTCTCTAGCGGAATGTTTCAGGGACCCAAATAGAAAGGAGATGGGGGGTGGGGTGGGGACAGGATGACACAATGCTAGTTCTTCCCATCTGCAAAACAGTCCAGAAACAAAGACTCTGTTTCCCTCCAAAAAGTAATTTTGTTTCCTTTGTGACGCAATTTGTTTTTAGATTTCATTTTCTTCTGGAGCTTTTGTTCGAGCTGATGTGAGTGAATGGGGAATGAGTCTGACACTCAGAGCTCCCAGCTCAGATTATAAACACACCTTGGGACTTTGTGGAACTTTTGATGGCAATTCAGAGAATGATTACCATGATGTGGACGGAACGGAAATCTCAGGAGGAACTGATGCTTATCTGACTTTTATTAACGAATGGAGGTAGCAGTGTTACCAATCCCATCAACGTCTTTTAAAATCCTACTGTAGAGAGTCAGTTTAATGCAATGGACTCCTATTTAAACCACAAAGCATACATAATATGTTCTTCCATGGTTGAAACAGGAGTCCCCAATCTTTTTATTTTACCTCAGAAATAAGATTGTAATTTATTTTTTACATTTCAGTGCAGATTTGTATATTTCATGCATGAAAGCACACATTTATAATCTTAACAGAAAAACATGTACATGTACATGAGGGAAAGCCCATGGGGCTGAAGAGCTGGACTTGGCCTTGGGGAGAGTCCTGAGTTCAGATGTCCCCTGGGGTGACTTTGAGTCAGGCTCCCTCTCACTTATTTGCCTCACAGGACCCAATGCAGCAGAAAGATTAGCGCATCAGACTAGCACCTGGGAAGCTGGGTTGAAATCGACATTGACATGAAGTTCTGTGGGTGACCTTGGGCCAGTCACATACTCTATCTAACCTTCCTCACAGGGCTGTTATGAGGGCAAAATCGAGGAGAACCTGATATACTGCCTTAAGCTCCTTGGAGGAAGGATGAGGTACAAATATATTAGATCGATGGATAGACAAGCTTCTAAAATGAGCAAAATGTCCATGCCACTCTAAGCTCATTGAAGGAAACATAAAAGTCTACACAACCGCCAGAGTCGACTTTGTTTTGTTTTTACCTCAGCAATTCTTGTTTCTAGAAGGGCATTCAATTTAAAAAGCTTTGTGAAAGTAGGAAAATGTTACAAAACTCCAATTGTGTGAAAAGTTCTCTCCTTTCCTCCTGTGTGTGCGTATTGCGTCTTTGGATAGTAGCCAACTGAGTTTCTCTGTTGTTTTCACAGAATTGCACCAGGAGAGAGCCTCTTTGACAAAATACCATCTCCTTTAACTTCAGCCAAGAAAATACTTTTCTGCAGTTGCAGTGCGGGTGGCATGGGAGCAGATGAGCCAGTGAACAAACTAAAGTCCTTTTCAGAAGCAGGATTTGCTTTGTCTTGTAAAAGAACTGAGCAACATGCTAGGCTTCCTTCTTTGATCCCAGGGCTGGATGTTACAGCTGAGTATATTAGCTCGGTTGATCATGTCAGGGGCTTAAGTAAGCGTGCCTCTGTGCTTGAAGAGGATTCCTCTGTTCTTCTCTCAAGAGAAGTACACTTGCTTAATCAAACGGCTCTTCAGATAGCATCCCAGAAGCACCTAACCATCCTTCCAAACTCAAAGAGCAGCACTAGGACAAATAAACAAGATGTTCTGCGCTCCATAGCCTACAACAACACTGACATGTATCAGCAGCAGCACAGAAGACCATCTGTCAGAAGCCGCCCAAAACGGCAGCATTATTATGAGTACCATCCTGCATTTCCATCCCAGAGTCTGAGCCAAGCAGATCTGGATGGATTTAGTTATTTCTTCCCAGAAGATCACACAGCTGACACATACCAAGAGCCCTTGTCCTCATGGCCCACGCCTTCTGGCTTCACCGAATCTGATGCAGTGGGTCTGTGCCAGGAGATGGTAGCTAATTCTAGCCTAGGCAGAGCCTGCCATGCTCTCCTTGGCCTTCAGGTAGAGAATGCAGTACAGATGTGTGTCAAGGATTTGCAACTGAAGGATGATCTCAACTGGGCAAAAGCATCTTTGGCCCTCTTGGAAAATGAATGTGAAAAAAGGGTTTGGGAAGAAATTAATTACAGCCCGAAAGAAAATGAAGGGTTCATTGAAGACTTGCTCTTGGCACTGAAATGTCCCAACCTCTGCAGCAAGAAAGGCCAGTGTGTCGAGTGGGGCTGTGCATGCTTTGAAGGCTTCACCTCTTACGACTGCAGTATGTTGTCTGGTGAGTTGAGCTGCTGCAGTTATTCACATTCTCTCTGCTCATTATCCAGTATATCCTTTATCATTTAAAACAGCTCATTTTCCTATCTCCTCTGCCTCCAATCCTGTTGGTATTCAGTTCCTGACGTGCCAGATTTAAACACTGCTCACAGGATCTCAAATAGTAACCCATGAGAATAGCACAATTTTGTATGCTGGTGTCCTTCATGGAATGCGGCAAGATGCATCTATTCCACATTACTGAATCCCTTCGAAAACCTGGGCATCTAAAGATACAACAGTTTTTCTTCTGTTGCTCCTCTTCTGTTTTAAACTAACATTTCCACTGATTCTAATCATGACTGTGACAATATACTACTATGTTTTGTGATTGTGTATGTGTTTGGTTCACTGTATCCTAAGATTTTCTGTTCTGCTAAAGCAAGTATAAGCCTCCTAGTGTAGTAACTATCTCAGTGTCAAACTGTAAAATATCTTGAGGGGTGGGGGGCTGAGTCTGTTTGCTTCCAAAACTTAACTAGGAATTAGTTATTAAAGTTATGCAAACATTAATGATTTAGCTTGAATATTTCACTTTGATTGCACTGGTAGCAGAGGTTTTAGTATATTGACAAATCACTTTTGAGGAAAAATAACTGTTTGAATGTGGCAGCAGCTGGTATTTGACATGACAGGACAGATTAGACAAACTCACCTCTCAGCATGTGGTGGAAGCTCCACATTCATTATGCCAGATGACTTGGTAGAATCGTTTTATACTGAATTTACCATATCTGGATGAAATGAAACATCATATGATTAAAAACTTCAGACAACTAGGCTATTTTGTGAGACAGTAACCCAGTCATTTGAATTCACCCTTGGAGTATGAACCACTAGGTAATGGTTGGGGAGGAGTCCAGTGGCCCCTTACATGCTAACAAAATTTATTCCAGCATAAACTTTCATGAGTCAGAGCTCACTTCATCAGAAGTATTAGGGCAGGAGTGTCAAATGGGCCAGATGCAGCCCCTGTAGGGCTCCTATCCAGCCTGTGAGCAACTGGCTCCCTCCTGCTTCCGTTCCTGCTTCCTGCATCACAGGTTGCTTTTTCCCAGCTCTCTCCTCTCCAGCTTCCTGCTTCCAGGGGAGAGAAAGAAAGCCAAGCCGCCTTTCCCTGAATTGGCTGATGGTTCCCCCTCCTCCTCCTTTGGGTGTGAGAGAGAGAATCCTGTGGCATCTTTAAGAAGACTAACAATGTTTTATTCTAGGTATAAGCTTTTGTGTGCATGCATACTTCTTCAGAGACCGGGGGTAGGAAAAGAGCCAGAGAGAGGACACCAGAGAAAGAGATATGGAGTCTCATGGCACTTGGAGAGATCCCAGTTTCCAGTTCTAACAGATGGGGGGGAAGAAACCTAACAGCACAGCTTGCATTCTTTATTAGTGGAAGGAAGCAAGAGTCCAGTAGCACCTTAACGGCTAACAATTTGTGGCAGGGCATGAGCTTTCATGAGTCACTTCTCACTTCTTCAGATACAGCTAGAATGTGAGTCCATTTGTCCTTATATCTTGGAGAGTGAAGTGATTTCAGATGCCAAATGGCAATAGCAGGCAGTGGTAATGAGAGAAGAAACTAAGTCTCAATTTAGTCCAGGAGGATGTGTTGTTTTGAGTTTCATTATCACTTGCAATTCAGCAGTCTCTCTTTCTAATCGTCCTTTGAAATTCCTTTGTAAAAGAACTTCTACTCTTAGGTCAGCAACTGAATGTCCTGGAAGGTTAAAATGTTTTCCCACTGGTTTTTGAATGTCATAGTTTCTAATAGCAGTAGAAAGAATAAGAGTCCAGTAGCACCTTAAAGACTAACAAAATTTGTGGCAGAGTATGTGCTTCAGTGAGTCACTGCTCACTTCTTCAGAGTTATTTCCATTTATTCTTTGCATCCTCCTGTACTGAATCCACCTAGACCAAATTGAGACCTAGGTTTCCTGTCTCATTACCAATGCTGATATCTCCATGCCTACTGCCCCTCTGCATATCACACCTAATCCAAGCAAGCCTGCTATTGCCATTCAGCATCTGAAATCATCTTTCTAAATTTTATATCTCCAGTACCTCATGTTACATTTTATGGCACACATGGCCCAGCCCAACAAAGTGACATTTATGTCAGATCTGGCCCTTGTAACAAGTGAGTTTGACATCTCTGCATTAGGGGGTGTAAAAGCTCTCAGCTTACATAAGAATTATACAAGTGACATCACAAACAGAAGAGGAAATAAACCTGTGTCTGGACTATAATGTTTCTCCATATAAAAAGGTTGTAGTATTTAATTGATTGATTCATCAATTAAAAATCTTTTCATTGGATAAAACATTACCCCTCCCCAATTTATTGGGCAACAGATTTTTAAAAATTCTACTTTTAGAAAAGCCTTGTAAATAGAAAGCCAGAGTAATAGGCAAAGAGCTACAGTAAGACTTGTTCCTCATAGTGTAATTTTTATACTTTGTAGGAAGTTTTCTTATCTAGAGGAATAATCAAAACAGAACAATATCACCTGCAGCTCTAAACAGTGCAGCACATTCTACTAGTTCAGCATTCCACCACCTCATCCATACCTCATTCTCCAGCATGTACCAGACCTCAGCTTTTGATATTTAGGTGGCAGCCCCCAAAAAGTTTCTTGCACATAGAAAGCTGGACATCAAGAAGACAGCCTAGCCCTCTCCCTGACGTGTTAGTTTAGCGTTTATGATTTTTATAATCTATTTATTTTGTCTGATCTTGTTACCGTCTACAGTGTCTTTTTATTCTCTTGCATGAGTGGTCTGTTGATTGACTCCATATGTTTGACTTTATGATTTTAACTTCAAAGATCAGGTTCCAGAAATTATAGAGCTAGACAATGGAGGATTGTGTGATATTCGGCAATATGACTGCACAACTGTAAGAGCTTTTGGCCATGGATTTCAAGAGTCTCCTGGCTCGAGATGTGAAATTAACAAATTGCAGGTGGGTTACTGTAATAAAGGCAACACGGAATCCAGTGTGAGAAGACAGGGCAATGTCTCTTGTGCCTCTAAAATGCGTATGGCATGGCCCCATTCTAGGACCTTTGGGGTCACTTCACATGTAATTCTAAACCATGGTCTGAAGCTTTTGGAATGAGCCTTCTCTTCACATATTCCCACATCCCCTACCTCCCTTATGCACTCCATACTTCAAACCATAGTTTGCAATTCTGGATTGGAGTGTTACAGAGTTACCAAAATTCTCTTTGTTTTAAAGAAATGTAATAACCGCTAAATCACAAGGCTGTATGCAGAATTATCAGTCTCTTCAACAATCATTCTGTATGGGTACCGGTCTTCTGACTGAAGAGATCAGAAGTTTATTTACTCCAGGTGTTGGTGAAAACCTTATATCCCAGCCAATGATTGCTCAGTGTTGTCTCTTAAAAACTTTACTTAAAATCTTTGAACAGATTAGATAGATAAGAATCATAATTATACAGAAACACTAAAATATGTAAATTAGATTATAATTAAAAAGTATACATGTTGCCCTTTCTGCCTAGTTGCTTTCAAACATAAAATGCAATTTTTTACCTTTTCAGAAAGGAGAAGATAGTCTTACCGCAACCCAGGTTTAAGAAATTCAGAGGTTACAGAATGTAGCCACACCTTATATAGAAGCTATAATCTTGGCCAACACATGACTTTACTAAACCTTCTGGTTTATGCTCTCTAAAGACATGATTTAAGACACCTGTCCTGTAAGCATCCCAAGGAATAATTGTTGCAAACACTGTTCCATTTGTTCTTGGATTTATTCTGGGCATGAAGCCAGTGATCCTCCAGGGCTGAAAACTATGAGATAGCTACAGCAGTGAAAAAAAATGCATGTTTGCAGATTTATACCAGGACTACTGTATCTAAAGATTATCTAGGCTGATCCTGCATTGAGCAGGGGGTTGGACTAGATGGCCTGTATGCCCCCTTCCAACTCTGTGATTCTATGATTCTGCATAGTGATTTAAAGTTAAAATCTGCAACAGGAGGGTAAGTATAAGCTATATTTTGCTGGTTCAGAGTAAAAGCAAATGGCAGTTTGTGCTAAGTAATAAGTAACAAATCGAATTAGAGCATGCTGGGTTGGAGGGAAGGGATGGGGGGGATGCATAAGCATGAGGCTCATTCATGAAGGACCAAATCATAGTTCAGCACCATTACATGTGAACTGACTGTAAGTGGTATTATGTTTCTTCAGGCCATTAACTGTAATTTCAGGGCTGTAAATAGTGGAGCCCAGTTGTGAGTTGCTGCATGGTTGATTTCACTTGTCCTTTAGTATGGTGCAGACTGCATGGGTAGGCTGAACATTTCCATGTAACAGCTGTTAACCCAACCCACACGTTCGTGCCTATGCGGATGTATGCTTCATAATATATAAATCATTACCAGTTTGATATAAAGAGTGTTAGTAATATTAACAGGAGGCTTCTTGTGGGGGGGAAGCAATTACTCAAGCTGGAATTTATCCAAGACACTTGATTAATTCAGGAGTATCGGAAGTCCTGAGCTAATCAAGCTGGCCTCTGACTTTGAACAAGAGATGTAATGTGACATGTTTACCACTTATGTAAAAGAAATTCCATTTGCACGGATTCACTAGAAAATGTTTATAGTGAATGTTTTTACTTGGCTAGTTCGAGCACATGCTAAGGTTATTTTGGTGGATTACATTACAGGCTATGGATTTTCTGGGAGCACAACATGGATCCTCTCATCTGCAAGTCAGTGTGAAATGAGAAAGTCAACAGCACATTCACACTCCATTAAGTTAAAAGCCCTCCCATCAAACTCCTAGTGAGACAATTATTGGGAATTCACTTATCACAGTTTGAAATGTCTTGCTCTTCACTCATTGCAAGGGGTTTTTGTTTTCCTTTGTTATAACACTCAGCAGTACTCTTGGTCCCAAGCTTCTTAAAAGGAGAGGGAGAAGAGGTTACGGTGGTCTTAAACCACCTTTTTGTTGAGTACTTGGCCCCTAGCTGATGATCAGCAAGAAAACAGGCGCCACTGCTGCTTGTTTTTTTGTACAGGGGTGGATTGGGACATTAAAACAGCCCAGGAGACAGCTGACCCAAGAGGCCCCCGTGGGACACCTGTTGTCATTACTGCTACGGCCTGGGTCCAAGCAGAGTGGCTGAGATTTATCCAAGACACTTGATTAATGCAATAGTATTGGAAACCCCAAGCTAATCAAGCTGAATCAAGTATCATAACCAAAAATATCAAAAATAGTGATTACAATTTTCTCATACATTTCTGTTGGACCCCAACCAATACACACCATATTTGATCTTCAGTTCTGTATTTAGTGGTGACTTTCTTGCCATTATCAGATGCTTCTTGCATCTTGGCCCAAACACATATCTATTGAAATTAATTATACTATTTCTGCTCTACTAGAAGCCATATTACTCTGTTACTCCTTTATTCCTATCCCTCTCCAAGACTGTTCTGTTCTGGGTCCCTGGACTCCTATTTGTCATGTTTAGCTGAGATGCATCCTCCATGCTCCCTTAATAACCAGCAACTGCTCCCCAATATTTTTGGCTATATCCATGACAAGTTGTTTTACTTGAAATATCCCACAAACATTCTGTCAACTTTTGTATTGATAAGAAGCTTATCTAACAAGGTTGGCGCAGTTAAGAGGGTACATAACTATCCACTCAGAGGCTTTAGGTGAAAGCTGCCCCTCAGGCATGACAAACAAAAAAATATTTCAGGAAATCAAAAACTAAAGAGCAGACAAAAGGGACTCAAGAGAAGCCTCAAATGTGTTTTGTCCTTTCCTTTTCCTTTAATATCCAATGTGAGGAAGAGAATACAGAATTTGTGCACAGATTTTTGTCAGTTTTCTTGTTTGTAAACCGTATTACATGTATTTGTCTGATGGGGGTAGAGCTGCCAGCTCTAGGGTGGGAAATACCTGGAAATTTTGAGGATGGGGAGGGGAAAAACTTCAATGGGGTATCATGCCATAGAGTCCACCTGCCAAAGTGGCCATTTTCTGCAGCTGAACTGATCTTTGTTGCTGGAGATCAGTCGTAATTCCAGATCTCCAGTCACCACCTGGAGGTTGGCAGCCCTAGTTTGGGGGGGGTTTTTTTTGGACCATTGCAACTACTGGAACTCCTCAGTCCTGTATGGAAGTTAAAAAATGTAAGACCATTCTCTTAGATATTCAAAAATACGTCCCTGTTTTGTGCACCAAAGCACCAAAGCACCTAAACCGGGGTGAAAGATGTATTTGAATATTGTGCTGCGTACTTATATTGTTTGTAATTTGATTACATTAAGCTTTCTGTTCTTAAATTCAGTACAGTGATAACAAATGGGTCCTTGGGGAATCTGAATTTATCAGTGGTGTCTTTCATAATACCAGGACAGTTGATTGCCATCTATCAGCTGAAGGACAACATTCTGATACTATGGATCTGGTAGATGACAAACCAATTGCAAGGTGGCAAATTAAGGTAAACCCTAGGGCTTATGAAAAGTGATGAAAAGATAATTTTTAAAGAGGCTATCTTACTTTTCCAAAAACTCAACCAACTCACAATGTAATTGAACAATATTATAAACATAACTGTATTTATTTCTTTTTATTTATGATTCAGACTTTTTGGTACTGTAAATTTTTATACTTTTATAAATACCTTACAAAACAATTTTAAAGTATAAAAATATACAATATGAAAACAACATTGCCGTGCTTATAATAGATACTGGAAGCTTTACTGAAATATTCTGTATTCCCTTCTAAAAACCTGTAATGTTGAGGTTTAGTGGGTATCTTTTGAGAAAGAATCTATAGGCTAAGGGCCACTACAATGAAGACTGTAATTTTCTACTCTGTGCAGTGTTACTGAGCAGTGTACGTGGTTCAGGACCTCATTTGCAGACTGTAATTGGGTGGATTCATATGGGGTTCCTAAGGGAAGAGCCAAGAGGGAAGCAATAGAACACACGCCTCATGTAAAAGGTCCAACTGGGCACAGGAGAGGTGCTAGTAAGAGTACAAAGTGTTGGACTAGTGCTCTGACAATATAAAGGCAAGTGTATGTGTTTTAAGATACTGAGGGACCAGACTATACGAAATAGTTTGCCATCATTATGGAGGATAGTTCTGTGAATGGCTACCAGCCATGTGTCTAAAGGCAACTTCTACATTCAGAGGCAGCAAACCTTCAAATAATACCAGTGCTAGGAGGCAATGTCAAGGGAAGACTTTGGCCTCTGTGCCCTGTTTATTGGCCATCCAGAACGACTAGTTTGATCACTGTGACACAATATGCTGAACTCTGGTCCAATCCAGTTACTATTTTTACATTCTTATTTGTAAAATACTATGTGAAGCTTCTATATTGCACGCTTACTCTCAGAACTATTGATATATGTCCAAACAGGTTTCCAATGATGGGATCACTTATAGCAACCCTAAAATCGTGACTTTATTTGATGGAGCTTGTCAGCTATGCAGTCCTCAGTTGGATGGACTCTGCATGTTAAAGGCAAGTATTTATTACTTGTTCTTCTTTTTGAGTCTTTATAGTGAGATTGGTGCTAGAACATAAATAGATGGATCAGTTAATTATTTGATTAAATCTGCATAAGTTTGTGTATGGATCAAATGTAGCTTTGAAGATAAAAACATAACTTTGTTTTGTTTTTTAGGTGATACATGTATGTATCACAGCGGGCATTATTTCAGAAGAGATATTTCTCCCTGCATGTGAGATAAAGGAGGATGCTTCTTTTAAAACAGTGGCTGCCGTCTGTATTTTTATTTGTATTAAAAGTAGTATTTTACATAGTTACCTAATGAATCCTGATTAATGGGAACCTTTTATTTGATCAAAATAATTAATAAATTAAGCCAATTAATCAACAAAGACTACACTCTGGAACACACTTATTTTGGAGTACACGCCACTGAAATAAGTGGGGTTTGGTTTTTATAAAATCATACATAATATTGGGCTGTAAATGTTTCAGCCTTAAAATAAAGCTATAACTATTTATTTATTAGGAAAATATGTATGCTGCCTGAGGCAGCTTGCAACCAAAACAAAACAAATCAAGACCATAGAAACAAATCATACCAATGAAAACAAATACATAAATTTAATAAGATAAATAAAAACAAGTCAAATAAAAGCATGCCAACAAAAACACATAAATCAAATAGAGTAGTCTGAAATGATACTGATAAAACAGCAAACCATAAATATAAACCAAGTAAAGTACTGGGAAGCCATGGTGCAGAAATGTAATTGTTCTTCCTAATTTATCAAAATAGAAATTTGGGTGGGGAAAAGGGACAAGTAGCATATTCACCAGGTCTTACCTCAGGCACTCCATTGTTCCTTCAGCTATATAAATCTGGAACAACTAGTGAGCAAGAAGCTGTCAAAATACTTGTTTTCTGTAACAATTTATTTTTTTCTTTTCTGGTTCTCAGTCTCCTATGGAAAAATCAGTTTAAAGTGCCGTCCTACACAGAGTGACACCTCTCTAAGCCAGTTGAAGTCAAATGGCTTAGAAAGGGTGTAACTTTGCTTAGGATTGTACTGTTGGCTCTTTGCGGAACAGCTCCTGGTACAATGGTTGCCTCCAGGAAGAAAAAGCCTTCAGTGTCCCCTTCTTCTCTAAGATGTCATGAACCCTTTTTGTTCTTGTTTATTGTACCCTTAGACATGGAATCAATGGTGCTTCCTTGACTGTTTCTTCAAGAATATTTTGCTCCACCTTGGTTTCTTTACTGCAGTGCTGTTTTCAGGAGAATCCATCTCCCTTATAAATAAAAGCCGAATGGTGGTGGCACTTCTCTAGAACATTCCACATGCTCCAAAATCAGTTCACTCTCTGATCTGTCATTCAGAGGGTCTCCCTATCCACTGGCTGCTTTGCCTGAGTCCAGCCTCCAACATTCTAAACATTTTGCTAATCCTCTCCCCCCCATAGCCAGTCAGAACACAGAGGTTATTTGCATATGCAGCCTCATTGGCCTCTGCCTCAGAACACAGTGGTCGTTTGCATATGCGACTTGATTGGCTTTTGCCTCTAACATTCTAAACAGTTTTGCTGTTCTGAGGTAAAATGTGTCCAATCTCCAGGTGAGGGCTGGAGATCACTCAGAATTACAACTGCTTTCCAGATGGCAGAGATCAGTTCCCCTGGAGAAAATGGTGGGCTCTGTATCCTTATATGCTGCTGAGGTGGCCCCCGTATGACAGCCAATGTGACGTAGCAGTCAGGGCTTCAGAGCACAGGAGAGGCTGCAGGTGTGTGGGGGGTGGAAAGCTGAAGAGTGAGGGGGAAATAAAGGTAGGTTGATGATTGGCTGGGCAGGAGATAGGGTTGCCAACTCCAGGTGGGAAATTCCTGGAGATGCGAGGGATGGAGCCTGGAGAGGGTGAGGTTTCAGGAGGCGTGGGACCTCGGACAGGTACAAAGCCATAGACTCTACCCTCCAAACCAACTATTCCCTTCTGGGGAACCATCATTGCCAATCTCCAGGTGAGGGCTGGAGATCACTCAAAATTACAACTGTTCTTTAGGTAGCAGAGATCAGTTCCTCTGGAGAAAATGGTGGACTCAGTGTCATTATACCCTGCTGAGGTCGCCACAGTAAATTGACACTGAGTGTCCAAGGCCGGGGCACCAGCCCAGAAACTCTTTCTAGAGGTCGTTGCATTTATTTCCACAATGGGCCTTTTTCCTAGTTTGACATAATCCTCAATTCATCGTTTTCCAATGTTCCCCCATATGCACTTCACTGTAATCTTATCCAAACCTGGTTTGATACGATCTTTTTGGAAAGATCACAGTTAAACCACCTTTGGGTGCAGTGTGAATGGGAAAGTGAACATTTTTTCAGGTCCCGTCTATACTGGCAGTATTTATCTCAGTTTGTATGGTGGCTGTTCCGTGTTACCACCACCACTTCTGGAGGGCTTTGTTCAGGCTTCTTTAAAAATCAGTAATAACTATATTGCTATAGTGTTATAATGGTCTATTGCAAGAGTGTACTAGTTCCCAGCTTTCATTTTTAAAAGTCTCTAGTCCTTTTCATCACAGATATATAAGGAGAAAGTGCACAACTTCACAGCCAAAAGGGCTGTTGCTCTGCAGTTGCGACAGGTAGAAGCAGCCCTCGTTCCCACTTGTGAGTCTTATTGCTCCTAGACTGATGGAGAGATTACATGGGGCAGCCTCAGACTGAATGTGAAGCCGGGTAATATCAGTGAGGTGTATGAGGCATACTGAGATCCGCTTTTTAAAAATGAAGATGATTTTTTACGTGAAGCATAGTACTTCTTGGATATCTGAGATTTATACTAGAAGCAGAAAGTGTAACACGTTGATTTTAGTGATGGAGTATAAAGTCCTCACTGTTGCTTAACATACCATAGTGGGTCTTTCTGCATGAGTGAAAACTGGAAAGACAGACAGAAATTTCAAAGCATGCATGGTGCATCAAGGATCTCACATTCCTCACTGAGATGAATAGCATTTGCACAGGAACATACTCCATGCTATTGTTCATATTAACAAAGATTGTGTAGAAGATGTTTTTTTTAAGTTTGTGTGTTTTGCCAATTAAAACTGTACATTTTGTGTGAACCATATTATGTTCTGGACAGGGGGGGGAAAGCTAGAGTGGGAAGCTGGACTCTTTAACATTTTATCCCATGTAAATGAATACATATTTGTGTATGCAGAAAAGCCTGCCAATGACCTAATGAATAATGCTATTGTTTCTACTAAGGAGAAAACATGCACTATAGATGGACTTTGTTATGGCGAAGGTGACACAAATCCTCTGAGCCCTTGCTTACTCTGCAGACCTGAAGTGTCAAAGTTAACTTGGTCAATTGCTGAAAGTAAGTGCCAGTTTGAAAGGAAGCTCAACTATTCAGGTATTCTGAATCTAACAAGCAGTTAGTGTTTTCCAAATGTTAACAGCACGTCCATTTTCCATCGTCCTGCCCTTGTTTGCAGTGTAAATGCCATGAACAGTAAAGGGGAGAGTGGCAGAGTGGGATCTCCAAAGTGTTGGGAGATGTGAAGTGGGGAAACCACTGGGAGCTGCAGCCCAAGTGTTGCTCTGCAGGGAATTTCCCTGGGTGTCAGAAGCTGCTCATCTCCCTTTAGAAAGCAGCCGAAGACAGTTTTATTATGATGCCATTTGATTAGTTGTTCAGCCTACCAGCAGTTTTAAACTATTAATTCTAAGTAGTGGTGGGTTTTGTGTATTTTATTATTCGTGACATTGTAAGCTGACTTGAGATTCTGTAAAGTGGAATGGTAGCTAAGAAATTATTTAAATAAATAAAATATGCTTCACGGTGTGTAGCATCACAAGGGCCAGGACTGATGTAATGAGTATAAATTGGACCTCAACCAGAGCTTGATCACTGTTAGCTGGCCTCAAATGAGGACAGACTTTGATTAAAATTCACCATCCAGCATCTTGTAGCAGAGCTTTCTGTTCCGTCCTGGGCAAGGATGGAAGTTCATCGTCAATTCATTATTTCCTCATTTTCTGTTTTGCTCTGCTGTGTATGCTTCAGGGACGAACAGGCTTATTGGCAGTGCCATCCTTAGCAGAGTTGCACCCTTGCAAGCCTATTGATTTTAATGAACTCAGAAGGGTTTGACTTTGCTTAGGATTGTACTGTGAGTGATGCATGTCTGAGTTGTGTGAAATGATGGTGCTTTGTAAGATCATCGATAAACTGCAGTGAACTTCTCATTTGTCCCGGTGTAACAGGCTGGATTAACCCCCCGGCCAGAGTAACCCCGGGGTTACTCTGGCCTAGCCTAGAATAACCCCAGAGGGGTTATTCTGGCCTAGGCTAGAGTAACCCCGGGTTAATCTGGCCAGCTGTAACAGGCCAGATTCACCCCCTGGCCAGAGTAACCCCGGGGTTACTCTGGCCTAGCCTAGAATAACCCCCCCATTCACCCCCCGGGCCAGATAAACCCCGGGGTTACTCTGGCCTAGGCTAGAATAACCCCCCAGGCCAGATTAACCCCCCAGGCCTGCTTTCTGGGGCTGCTGTCTTTTTCTACTAAGAGAGATACTTCCCCAATAACCAGAGAGAGCCACCTTCTGTTGCCAGAGGCGCTGCCTTTTACTCTTGGGAAGCCCCAATACCGAGGGCACCCCACTTATAACCTGACCCAGAGAGCCACAGGACTCAGGCCAAGGAAGGCACTCCTGGTTCTGAAACACAGAACTAGCCACAGCTCTGAAAAAGAGGTCTCCATTTGCAGGTGACAGCAAGCTTCCAGTCTCCCCCCTCCACCCAGCAGAGATCATGCTAATGGAATTCTACCAGGTAAAGTTAAAGTATATTCAATCATCTTCTCCAATACCACACCCAGCCCACTTTTGTGTCACCTCATGTCTTTCCTGCTCTGCCCCTCAGGCTACTGGGATAACCCAATCAAGCATTGAAATTATTAACGATCCTTCCTGACATAATCAGGGACTGTACCAGGAGTGTTATGTAACTGGGATGACAGGCCACGGAGTGGAATGACAGCTCCAGGGTGCAGCAGGAGTGTTCTGGAACTGGAATGACAGGGCCAAGAGTGGAATGACAGGCCCAGGGTGTACCAGGAGTGTTCTGGAACTGGGATGACAGGGCCAAGAGTGGAATGACATGCCCAGGGTGCAGCAGGAGTGTTCTGGAACTGGAATGACAGGGCCAAGAGTGGAATGACATGCCCAGGGTGCAGCAGGAGTGTTCTGGGACTGGAATGACAGGGCCAAGAGTGGAATGACATGCCCAGGGTGCAGCAGGAGTGTTCTGGGACTGGAATGACAGGGCCAAGAGTGGAATGACATGCCCAGGGTGCAGCAGGAGTGTTCTGGGACTGGAATGACAGGGCCAAGAGTGGAATGACATGCCCAGGGTGCAGCAGGAGTGTTCTGGAACTGGGATGACAGG